ATCTCTTAAGTGCTCTAGCAAGCAAGTTTCCAAGTGTTGGAAACCATCCCAAAGGTGTGGACTGCTCAAGAGGGTGTTGGCTGCTTCAACACCTAGCTGTGATCTTCAACCAACCTTCAGATTCGGAATCAAAAGGTTAGTTCTACTCTCCAAGAGGTTCTTCACGGTCAAGTCCTTCTCCATCCCGTGCATGTTATAGTTCATGACAAACTGGTCAAAACTATCCGGCAGGGATTGAAGAACTAGGTCTACAGCCAATTCACGACTAACATCCAACCCTAGTCTGTCAAGATCCTCTAGATAACCCTTCATCTTGAGGATATGAGTACTCGCGGGTGAACCATTGGTCATCTTACAGTTGACCAGGTTCTTAAGGACGTTAAATCGTTCGACCCTTGCCTGTTCCTCGAACATAGTCCTGAGATGCTCGATCATCTCGAAGGCATCAGTTCCTTCGAGTTGTTTCTGCAACTCAGCCGACATTGATCCGAGCATCAGGCAGGTCTACTTAAATAGCATGTTTTTGAGCGTCATGCCCTAGCTGACTCAAAAACATGTGAAATATGGATCCTAGCTCACTTAGAAACTCATTGAGGGTGTTTTTCTTAGTGGGAACTTGTCATATTGCATCTATTATCTGTGTTAGCATGTGTACTAAGTGACTTACATGTTTTTCTGTCTGTTTGTTTGTCTTTTTCTGTAGAATATGACTGCTGCAGGTAATCTGGCTAATCTCTCCATGCGATCCATTCTGGATCGGGAGAGACTCACTGGTGGAAACTTTCTCGACTGGTACCGTAACCTGAGAATTGTTCTCAGGCATGAGCGGAAGCTCTATGTGCTGGAAGAAGCCGTTCTTGAGGATGAACCAGCGGCCAATGCGCCCAGGGCTGTCAGAGATGCTTACCATAAGCACATCAATGATAACCTAGACGTGACCTACCTGATGCTCGGATCAACGGCTGAGTTGCAGAAACAACTCGAAGGAACTGATGCCTTCGAGATGATCGAGCATCTCAGG